GGGGGAGAGAGGAAGCCAAAGGGCAGAGGACATTTTTTTATGTTTAAATTTTTCTTGTCTTGCCATAAAATAGGAAGTTTATTTCATACTTCCGTGTCTTGGCTACTGTAAATAGTGCTGCTGTAAACACTGGGGTGCGTGTGTCTTTTCGGATTAGAGTTTCCGTCTTTTCTGGCTTTATACCCAGGACTGGAATTGCTGGATCATTTGGTAGCTCTATTTTTAGTTCTTTAAGGACCCTTCATACTGTTCTCCATAGTGGCTGCACCAATATACATTCCCACCAACAGTGTAGGAGGGTTCCCTTTTCTCCACACCCTCTCCAGCATTTGTTATTTGTAGACTTTTTTTTTTTTCCTTTTTTTGCGGTATGCGGGCCTCTCACTGCTGCGGCGTCTCCCATTGCGGAGCACAGGCTCCGGACGCGCAGGCTCAGAGGCCGTGGCTCACGTGCCCAGCCGCTCCGCGGCATGTGGGATCTTCCCGGACCAGGGCACGAACCCGTGTCCCCTGAATCGGCAGGCGGACTCTCAACCACTGCGCCACCAGGGAAGCCCATTTGCAGACTTTTTGATGATGGCCATTCTGACCCATGTGAAGTGGTACCTCATTGTACTTTTGATTTGCATTTCTCTAATAATTTGCGATGTTGAGCATCTTCTCATGCGCTTGTTGGCCGTTTGTATGTTTTCTTTGGAGAAATGGCGATTTAGGTCTCCTGCTCATTTTTTGTTTGGCTTGTTTGGTTGGGGTTTTTTTTTTCTATTGAGCTGTGTGTGCTGTTTGTGTATTTTGGAAGTTAAGCCCTTGTTGGTCGCATCGTTTGCAAATGTCTTTTCCCATTCTGTAGGTTGTCTTTTTGGTTTGTTGATGGTTTCTGTTGCTGTGCAAAAGCATTTAAGTTTGATTATGGCCCATTTGTTTATTTTTGCTTTTATTTCTTTTGTCTTGGGAGAAGAGAACTCTGCTCCTAGAGGGTGCGTGTGAGTAGGCTGGACTCTCCTGGGGCTTCCACCCACACTCCATGGGGTTGTGCAAGGGTGAACCAGGGGTGAGCTAAGGGGAAACAGAACGGGGAGTCTTCACAGTTGGTTGATTTCCTTTGCTATTGTCACTGCTCTTGCTTAATAAGGTTTGCTCCTGCATTCTTTTATTCCCTTAAGATTGTTAATTGCTGAGAGCTGTTCAGGGGCAAGCACTGTGACCAGACTTAGGTCACACATGGCTTAGACCACAAGTGGCTTCTCTTGTGTCAAGAAAGCCATGCCTGGTCCTCTTCCTCCTGGGACCCCCCCACCCTGTCTGTCTACGGTTGGGACTTAAAGCTGAGGGGTGGGGCGATGTGTAGGGCTGTGTAGTGCGGGTGCTGGGAGCAATGGAAAGACCACAGCTGCTTCTGGGGGCCCCCCTTCTGCAGGTGAAGAGCGGTGCTGGGGTAGAGTGACCAGCAGAGGCAGGACCCTCCCCATCTCCCAGTCTCTTCCCCTCAGTGCTCAGTCGGAAGCCCCTGGCTGAGCAGGGATGTGATGTCCGGGGTCGCAGTCCCAGATCCCAGAGCTGAGTACAAAATGTGTGTGGGGGGTGTTGAGCTGAAGACTAGGTTTTAACAGCAGACACCTCCTTTTTCTGGGGTCCAGGGGCTCCCCTGTTGGAGCCTGGCCCTGTGCCCTGTCTTCCTGCTGCGTCCCCCGGCCCTGCCCTCACACTAGCCTGTGATGCCAGTTCATAAGCTGCTGGTAGGTGAAATGGAGATGCCAGCCCAGGGGCTTAGCGCTATCGTTTAGAAGCTGAGAACAGCGGCTTCGAATGTGCGGGCTCTAAAGGATTAATTATCTGTGCATGCGGAAGCAGTGGAGCAGGCTATTTTGAAAGGATTTTCAGGATGTTTGTCATCGTTGCTTCAGATCTTGTTTCTTTGAAGTCGATGAGAATTTAGGGACCTGGAATACCGCAAGCTCCGTCTAGGAGGCCGTGAGATCTGGCAAGTAAAGTTGCACAGTGCCGATTTTAAGTGTCTAGTTTAAGAAGACTTGATTTTTGCTTTATTACTTGAAGTCCTCATGATACTGGCTTGAAATTTTTAGAAAGACGTTGAAATACACGTCATAAGCGTGTAGCTCCACGTGTGTTCACAGAGGGAGCGCGCCTGGGGAACCACCGCCCCCCGGGAGAGCTGGGGTGTGGTCCTCATCTGCACCCAGGCCCCCCCCCCAACACCCCGAGTCACTACCCTCACCGCCCGGAGAGACGCTATCCTGGTGGCCAGGGAGCTTTGCCTGTTTGCGATATTGAGGTGAGACCTGAAGGTTGGTTGGTGTTGTTCAGGTGAAGAGGGAGGGAGGGTTTGGGAAGTTACTGGTGCACAGGAAGGCACGCACAGCCAGGGCACAGTGGCCGACGGTGGGGCCCCTGGGGCAGCCACGGCCCGGGGTTTCCATGCTCTCTCCCTGACCTCCGTCTCTCCGAGAGGTTCTGCGGGTGGGGGCCCCGCTCTCACCTGCGTCCCCCCTCCGCAGGTGCTGAGATTCTCAGTTACCTGGGCTGTGCAGTGTCTGTTTCCAGAGTTGGTGGAATTGCTCACCTGCTGCGTCTCCTTCCCCTTCTCTGTCCTTGAGAATCAGTTATAAAAGGATCCCTTTTTCTCATTTTTGCGGTTTCCGGGAGAGAGAGGGCCCGAAGGTCAGGGTCCACGTCTCGCTGGGCGTCCCCGGTGGGCGGCATCTCCTCCTGCAGCAGTGAGCTCAGCGGGTGAGCTCAGGGGCCGGCCCCACTTCCCACCCCGCAGGGCACTGTCTCCTGCTTCCCCCGGTGGCTGCCGGCTTCCCCCAGCTTGTGTGGCTCCTTTGGTGGGGTCTCTGGTGGCCCGTGTGGAAGTGAACTTCCCAGCTGAGACCCGGCTGGGGGTGGGGAGAGGACGGAGGGGACTGGGCACCAGGGCCGGGGTGTAGAGGGGGGCGCCCGTGAGACCGACGTGTGTGTCAAATGAGCGAACACTCATCAGGCCCTGCTCCGTGCCTCGTCCCGAAGAACAGGGTCGCAGCTTCCCTGGGGGGTGGGGCAGGAGCGCCGTAGGGGGGGAGGGGCGGGTCCAGGAGAGGAGGAGGAAGGCTTCCGGGCAGGTGCCAGGGTGGCTCAGCGCCAGCCGCTGGGGCACCGTGTGCGAGGCGGGGAGGGGGCCGGCGGGGGTGGGAAATGGTAGGTCGCGTGGGAGGTTCCAGGAGGCCGCGCTGGTGGCCTGGGGTGGGGGGCAGGGGCGGGAGGAGACGCACCAGGAGGCAGAGGTGCCGGGTTGCCGCCTGGTGGATGACGTGGCCTTCAGCTCAGCCCCCTCCCCAGAACCCGTGGGTGGGAAGAGCCTCCCCCAGCGGTGGCGCCCACGAAGGCTCAGCTCCGGGCAGGCAGCGAATCCGGTGGCGGTCGGGGCTGGCGGCTCCAGAGGCAGGCTGGCCCTGAGCTTGTTCGCACTGAGTGTGGGAAGGCGGCCGTGGTCGGAGTCCACGCGTGAGCCCCTTGCCTCCCCAGCGGTGGGGGGACACGAAAGAAGGCCTGAGTGGGTCACTTGTGCTCTGCCCCTCGGGGGTGGCCGCCTGGTGCCGCAGGACGCGGCCGGGCCCTGGGTGCCGCTCACGCCGGGTGGACTCCTGGGTGTCCGGCCTCGCCCGGGGGGGTAGTGCTTCCCGGCTGTACCCCGAGCACAGGGCCCTGCACGGGGGTCTTGGTGCCGTGCTGGCCGCGTTCCTCGGGCAGCTGGGGTGGCCGGCCGTGTGGAGCGATGCAGTGGATACTCTGAGAGGCGGGGAGGGGACCACACTGCGGGGCCCTTGTCCCGGGTCTGCCCACGGCGATGGCGGTGAGGCCAGCCTGGAAGAGGCCGGTGGGGCCTGGCGGGGGTCCTGGGCCCTGATGCCCACCACCTCTGAGGACCGAGGGGGCCCACAGGGAATGTGACTTCTCCCGCCGAGGGATCTGCGATGTCCTGTACCTCAGTTCACCCGAAGGAACCAAGACCGATTCAATGCAGAAAAATAGGAAAGTAGAGATACGCACAAGGAAAGACCGCTGTGGGACTTTGCGTGTCACGAGTGCACGCTGTCAGACTTGTGGAGTCGTCCGGCCATTTTAGACACAACCCCTTGTCCCCGTCATTAAGCAGGGGGGCTTCTGCTTCATAAACCTGACTTTAGCTCCGTGCTGGCTTTACCTTTTCTCCAGTCACCTGCTCTGACTGCTGGAAGGAACTTTCTAGACCTTGTGTTCAGGCTCTCTCGGCACCAGAGCGCCACCCCTCCCCTCCCTTAACTGCTCTGCCCCCGGCGCCTCTGGAGAGGCTGGTGGCCCAGGTGAGGGGGCCGAGCCCCGGTGGCCAGGTGACCTGAGCTGGGACCGCGTGAGGCTGGCCCTGTGGGGTGGGGTCCCTCTCTCGTCTGGGAGCGGGTCTGTGGCTGCGATCGCTTAGGACCTTTGGCTCCGGGCTGGGTACCTTCTTTCTCCCCAGCTGGCACGTGACGATGCAGGGGCTACAAGCCAGGCTCCCAGGGAGGGACTGGGAGCCCTTGGCCTTGCCCGCGCGTTGGACTGGGGGCCGGAACACAGACGACCTCGCTGCCCTGTGTCCCGACAGATGGATGCCTTGCTGGTCTCTGTGAACACTTCCATTTGGTGGCATTTCCGGAAGTGAGGTGCTGAGTTCCAGCGGGCAGGCAGTGGCCTCTGAGCCCTGGCCCTTCAGGGGTGCCTGCTCCCCGAAATGTTTCCCGTCACCTCCACGCACGTCACCGGAAGTGCGGGTGCTGAGGCTGACCTGGGGAGACCCCCCCCTTCCTGTCCTCCACATCTGGGACCCTCCAGCCAGCCCCAGGCTGGGCCAGGCACCTGCCGTGGGTCCCTGGAAGCCCACCAGCTCTCTTACACCCGCTCCTTCTCTGTCCGTCTTGCAGGTTTTGGGGTTTGAGGTCGACGCAGTGAACTCTGTCCAGTTTTCAAACCACACAGGTAAGGCGTCAGCCTCAGCGGTCCTCGCAGAGCTGAGTGTGGGCGTAGGACGCGGTCCCTCACCTTCCAGACGGGAAATGGAGCCGGGGGTGTGGTCCTTGCCGAGGCTGCACAGCACGTGCACACGGGGCTCAGGGGGCCTGGGTTTGCCGGCTGCGTGTTTACATCAGTGTGGCTGCTTCGGAACTGGATGGCCTGGCGGGTGACGTGACCTCTCGGCCCCCCGCTTTCCTCCGTGAACCAAGGACGGTGATCCTCGTACCTGCTCTGGGCCCCCCCACCTGGGTGGCACTGTGGACTGGGTGGGGAGCAGATCCCAACTTTCTCGTGAAAGCAGAGCCTCGGGGAGCTCGTGCGTGTGTCTCTTCGTGCACGGGGACCCCAAGGATTTCTGTGCACAGAAAGCTGTGCGAGCGCTGCCGCCTCGGGTTCGTGAGGGTCACAGCCCTTGGAAAGCCCCCAAGGTGTCAGGCGAGGGCCCCGGGCTCCCCACCCCCGTGGCCTCAGAGACGCCCTGACCTGGGATCCCTGAGCTGGTGCTGGCAGGGGCACAAAGCCTCTCGGTTCTTGGAAACATTCCCACATCCCTTCCTTGAAATGACTCTGAACCTGATGGAATCTCAGAGCACAGAAGGTCCCAGAAACTGCTGGCCGAGTGCCGACCAGATTCGCGGAAGGGTGCTTCCCCTTGGCCCGATTCTTCCGGGTGGGGTTCTTGGAAGGGAGGGGGTGTCACGAGTCACCAGCACACTGGGTTCAGATGAAAAGGCTACAGTTCCCACTAAGAGTCCTTTCCTGCCTTTGCTTTCGGCGGGCCGGGCACAGTGACATTTGGACACGTTCCCAAAAGTTGTCAACCCAGTGAACCCCTTCAGAGCTTACGGGTTTTACTGGCTGTTTTAACTTCCCTCTTTTTTTTTTTTTTAAGTGAAAGAGCCAAGTTGGCTTAGACATTAGATGACGATGCCCACCCCCCGCCCCCCCCTGTGCCCCCCACCACCCCACCCCCGCTCCAGGGCAGCGCCGGGCTCTGAAGCAACAGCCGGTGTTCTGTGGTTGTTCCTTTAGCAAGAGTTTCCTGTTACCCAAGATCCAAGCCCTTGGACGAGCGGCTGGAAGAAACTGGACGGGGCTGGAGGTTGGCGGGTGGGGCAGGGCCAGGCTTCCAGGCACGTAGGGTTTGGGGTGTGACCTGCTGCCAGGCCTGGTGGTGACCCCCTGGGGGCGCAGGACCAGGTGCCTGCAGCAGACGTGCAGGGAGGAGCTGGCTCCCTCGGGGTCACCGGCTCGGCCTCTGGGGAGTTTGTTGTTTCATCTGTAAACTGTAAATTGGGTGGGTTGGACAGAGGACCAGAGTGCCCCTGTGTTTCAGAAGGGTCTCCTGAGTTTGGAGAGGAGAGGCTGGGTTGGTGGGGGGGCAGTAAAAGGAGGGGGCCCGAACCTTCTCATCATGTTAGGAAGCTGGCTCGCTGGGCAGGGGGCGACCCATGCTTGAGACCTGGCGGGGGCTGACTGCACATCACGGGCTGCACTGTGTCCCCTCAATTCACGTGTCAGAGTCCCAACTCCCAGGACCTCAGATGTGATAAGGTCTTTAAAGAGGCAGTTAAAAGGTACATGGGGGGCTTCCCTGGTGGCGCAGTGGTTGAGAGTCCGCCTGCCGATGCAGGGGACACAGGTTCGTGCCCCGGTCTGGGAAGATCCCACATGCCACGGAGCGGCTGGGCCCGTGAGCCATGGCCTCTGAGCCTGCCCGTCCGGAGCCTGTGCTCCGCAACGGGAGAGGCCACAACAGTGAGAGTCCTGCGTACCGCAAAAAAAAAAAAAAAAAAAAAAAAAGGTACATGGGGTCATTGGGGTGCCCCTGCTCCAACCTGATCGGTGCCCATGGAGGAGATTAGGACACAGACACATGCCCAGAGGGGCAACCACGTGGGGACGCAGGAGAAGCCCGCCGTGGGCTCTCAGAGCAACCAGCCCTGCGACACCGTGATCCCGGACTCTGGCCTCCAGAACTGTGGGAGCCCCTGTGGTTCTTGGTCACAGCAGCCCTAGGACAAGAGAAGTACATGTGCAACGGAGTCAAACCACACGGTGTTGGGGATTCCCTGGCCGTTCCGTGGTCACGACTCGGCGCTTTCACCGCTGAGGGCCCCGTTTCAGTCCCTGGTCAGGGAATTGAGATCCTGCAAGCCACGTAGCGCAGCCAAAAAAAAAAGAAAAGAAGAAAAAGGAGAAACCACCACGTCTGGAATGATGTTCGGAAAACCAAGGGGCAGGAAGGGCCGTTGTTCCTCCCGCCTGGGCCGGTGGGATTTTGTGGCAGCAACACCTGCGGGGACACAGCCAGAGGCTGCCAGCTCTTAGCAGACACCTGAGCCTTGGGGGACAGCCCTGCGAGAGATGGGTCACCTCGCCTTGGCGGACCCTCCTTGCCTCTGGCCCTCCCGACTGGTTAATGGGCGTCCACCAGAGGCCACGCCGTCCTGGAAAACTGCTGACAGGTGTTGTCGGGTGTTGGCCCCTCCGCGGCAGGAGAGCCCTCGCCCCACGGGCACAGGGGGCGCCGCAGCCCCTTCTCCAGGCCCACAGCCCAGCCGGTGCGGGACCTGCAGGACAACACCCGAGACGGCAGGGAGGGTCTGGGGCTGTGGCCGGGATCTGCCTCCCGTGGTCTGTACTCGACTTTGCTGTCATAGAAGTCAGCCCTCCCCGAGGCTGTTACTTATGTGCTTAGGAACCCGTCCGTTTGAGTGGTCCCTCTTGGCGTAAGGGCTGCCAGGATGGACTTGCCGTGGGCGGACTGCGGGGTGTCCCTGGTGGGGTGCGCCCGCCCCAAGGGACCTCGCGAGGGCCTCCTGCCTGCCCCGTGTGCGCTTCACCCGGGTGCCTGTCGGGTCAGGAGCCCCGGCCACAGCCTCTTGCTGGTTCACGTTCGGCTCTTGGTCAGGATTTGGCCCGAGACTTGGATGAGTTGCTGCTCATCTTGGATGGAGGTGGGGATGCAGGGAGCCCCTACCTGCCAGGGGGCGCAGGTAACAGTCTTCAAGCAACTCAGCCTGGATGGGGGACGCGCACAGGAGAGGCTGGCAAAGCCAGGGACAGTGACACGATGGAGACGCTCCCAGGTGCCCCGCCAAGGACAGGGAGAAGTTTCGCAGCCCTGCGTCCTGTCTGTTGGTACAATGCAGGCTGCACAGGCGTCCTCAGGCGGCCTGCAGAGCTGGGCCCTCGCTGCACCGGCTGGGAGGGTGGACCCCGGACTCAGTAATAACAACCCCAGAACGTGTCGGAGCCAGACGCGCTTTCGGGGGGGACCTGCCGAGGGCCGTGTCGCCCGCGTGCCCCACGCGTCAGGGCCTGCGTGTTCTGCTCTCCCCCCACCAGGCTACTCACACTGGAAGGGCCAAGTGCTGAACTCAGATGAGCTCCACGAGCTGTACGACGGGCTGAAGCTGAACGACGTGAACAAGTATGACTACGTGCTCACGGGTGAGGCCCAGGGGACGGGGTGCCGGAACCGGGGCCTGGCGCCCACCTGGGGTGGGCTGGGGAGGCCCGGAGCACCCCTGACCTGGGCTGCTACCTGGTCCCTGCCTCCCTGCCATCAGGAACTCAGTGGGGCCCTAGTGACCGCATGACCTTGGGGGTCCTGGCTGTGCCACGTCTCCATACTGGGGTTTCCACGCTCATGGCGGGGGACAGGCGGGGTGTTGGGAAGGGGTCTGGGACAAAAACACCCAAACAGGCAACACGCTGACACCTGGTGTGTTGGTTTCATTTACAAACCCACGTGGTTGCGTTTATTTACATACGTGGTTAGAAGTGAACATGCTGATTCTGGAAAATGGAAAAGAGGAAGGAGAGCAGTCCTCGTACACCCGCGGCTTCTTCCTTTCCTGTAAAAGTTAACATTTCTGTTGGGAAGTGCGCGGTGTCCCCTGGTGCCTGAGGTCGTGGGGGCACCTGTCTTGGCCCTGGCCGCGGGGTCTGGGCACTGCCCGCCGTTCTCTGGGCAGGTGGGCTTGATGTGCCGTTACCGTGGTTGGGTGACGAGAGTTCTCTGTCCCTCCCAAAGGTTACACGCGAGACAAGTCCTTCCTGGCCATGGTGGTGGACATCGTGCGGGAGCTGAAGCAGCAGAACTCCAGGCTCGTGTACGGTAGGTGCTGGGAGCCCCAGGAACGGGCGGCTCAGCCTCCTTCCTTCTGGGCGCCCCATCTTCACGTTCTGCTCCTCCCAGCACACGGGCTCTGTCTGGGGACGAGAGCCTCACAGGTGTCCTCACGGTGAACCTGGCGTCTGTCTGGGGCGGATGAGAGAAGCCGGTGACCACACAGGGCTGTGATCAGTGTCAGGGTGGGGTGTGTGACCACCCGGTCCCTGGGTGGGGTGAGGGACTCCCCAGGTGGGGCCCGGACAGCAAAATGCAAAATGCCAGGTAGGAGGTACATGAGGACGGGAGGCCGTGCTTTCCCATTTTAGTTGCGTGTGTGAAACTTAACAAGTCAGATGTGGGGCGCACTCCTCTCAGCGCCGCTGCTTTTGCTGATAAGATGCCCTTTGTCTTCCGCAGTGTGCGACCCCGTGATGGGAGACAAGTGGAACGGAGAAGGCTCCATGGTTAGTGCTTCCCCGCGTTGGGGCGCGGGCCGTGGGGCTGTTGGCAGCACTCTGAAAGTGTCTGCCTGGGCAAGACACTGCTCTTGGGCCAGAGACACGTCCTTGTCCCTTGTCGGGAAGGAGGGGCCGGGGCTGGCAGAAGAGGTTTCCACGAAGGGCCCCAGAGGAGGTGTTTCAGGGCCTTGCATCCCTGTTGCAGCTCTAGCAGCCGCAGATGAGTTGCAAAAGAACGAACATGGCTGTTTTTTAATCGAATTTCAGGTGTGGACACTGAGCTTTGAATTTCCTCTAATTTCCACGTGTCACAGAATATACTGCTTTTCTTTGGACTTTCCCCCCAACCATTTAAAAACATAAAAGGCACTCAGCCCACCAGCCACACACCAGCAGACTGTGGGCCTGGGTTCCCGACGCTGATGTGGGCTGAGCGGGTGGTGTCATCGCACGGATATGGTGGAAAGCCGCTAGTGGGGACCTGACCCGGATCGTCAGGGTGGATCATCAGGGCTGGCTGCCCCAGCCCTGCCTCGGGACCCCCTGGAGCCTTGGGGTCCCCACAGCACGGGCCGCCCTGGCCTCCCTCCCTCACCCCTCACGCGTCAGCTCGGTCCTGTCTTTTTCCCGCAGTACGTCCCTGAGGACCTCCTTCCAGTTTACAGAGAGAAGGTCGTGCCGGTTGCAGACATCATCACCCCCAACCAGTTTGAGGCTGAGTAAGTCATTTGAGTCGGCTGGAGCAGTCAGACCCACCCCCATCCCCATGGGGAGAGTGACAGGGACCCCGCTGGAGAGTCCCAGTCTGCGGGGCAGGGAGCTGCCAGCCCACCTGAGCGCCAGGGCGGGCGCTGGTTGTCAGCAGCAGTGGGCAGTTGTTTCCCTCCGACTCCCTGTGGTCATGCTGGTCCCTGAGCAGCGAGAGCCTCTGGGGACAGAAGTGGGCAGAGGCGCTGTGGCGAAGCCGGGGGTGCACGTGGCTGACACGGGCGATGGGACAGGGAGCCCACGCCAGCTGACGCGGGCCACCGCCCCGGAGCTCTGAAACCCACATCCCAAATCTCTGCACGAGGTTAAGAGGACCATGCCGGCCCCGCTGCTCAGCGCCATGTTTCCAGGGGCCTTTCTTGGTTGCCCGGCCCCCCCCCGATGGACAGGAGAGCTGGGCACTCAGGGGGTTGAGGAGTGGCTCCTGGGGCCTTGGGGCGTGAGCACGGCGGTGGGTGTGTCCCCGTCGCGTTCGGCTCTGTTAGGCCGGCAGCGATATCCCCTCTGGCCCCGAGGCCACCCTATAGAGTAGGGATGGGGCCCCTGGACTCTTGGGGGCCTGGGGTTCCCTCACCCGCGCCTGTCGATGCTGGGGGATGGCGGCTCACCCAGAGGTCCCTGATGGTTGGTGGCTCAAGAACGTAGTGCACTGAGATTTGCAGCTGTTTGCGAGGACGCTGGCTGCCCTCAGTGGCACCGTGTGCTGTGACCGTTCACGGCCGTCCTTCCCCGTTGTTATGCGTAAACGGTAATCACGGTCTGGAACTTCAACCCGCCCCCATGACGTGTGAGTCCCTTTTCACTTTTTAAATTTATTTTTATTTATTTTATGATTTATTTGATTACGCTGGGTCTTGGTTACGGCACCCATGTGGGATCTGGTTCCCTGACGAGGGATCGAACCCGGGTCCCCTGCGTTGGGAGTGCAGAGTCTTACCCACTGTGCCACCAGGGAAGTCCCGTGAGTCCCCTTTCAAACTGACTCTTGACTGGTCCCCAGACACGGTGGCCGCCTGGTCCGCGACGGCGGGCGGGGCCAGCCAGTTCCCTGTGGGGCAGGAGGGGTCACCCGTGCACCGTAGGTAGGTAGGTAGCCCTGGGGCTCTTCCGGGCGATGGCTCAGCTGTGCTTGTCTGCCTCCCAGGTTGCTGAGCGGGAGAAAGATCCACAGTGAGGAAGAAGCCTTAGCGGTAAGGAGGCCGTCCTGTGCCTGGTGTGGGGCAGGCAGCCCGGCTCACGGTGGGAGGGGACAGCCACACGCCCTCCGGCGGAGGAGACGGGCACCTGTGTGGCCAGCGTTGGCTTCCCGTCAGCCAGCCACCCGAGGCCCGGGGAAGCTTTGCAGATTCCGTTTCGGCCCCTTTTGGTCACCTGCGGCCTAGTGCCTGCTGGGTCTGGGTTCGCCCGCTGCCCGTGCCAGCTGTCTCTGCATGAGCGTCCGGGGCCGTCGCAAAGCGCCGCACACGGGGTGGCTGAGCAGCAGGGCTTTGCTCTCATAGTTTCGGAGGCCAGGAGCCCAGGCTGGCCGGCTGGCCCGTGCTGTCAGCAGCCTGTAGGGAGAGTCCTTTCCTGCCCCAGCCTCTGGAGGCGGCTGGCAGTCCTCGGTGTTCCCGGGCTTGTGGGCACACCACCCCAGGCTCTGTGTGTGTATGCGGGGTGTGTCTGCACGCACGTGTGAGAGTGCATGTGGTGTGTGTGTGTGTGTGTGTGCGTGGGAGGATTCCTTGCACGTAATGGACCCGTATCTTTGGGGGCTGGCTGGGCATTTCTGGAGTCCACAAGGCAGGATTCCGGAAGGGAAGGGCGGGCTGGGCCTCTCAGGC